TATTTTTTGTAGAGAAAGGGTTTGGCCATTTTGCCCAGGCTGGTCTCAAACTCCTAGGCTCAAGTGATCCGCCCACCTCTGCCTCCCAAAGTGCTAGCATTACAGGCATAAGGCACTGCGCTCAGCCAAGAAAAAGAATTCCTTTTTGCTTTTGAGACGGCGTCTCACTCCATTGCCCAGGTTGGAGTACAGTGGTGTGCGATCATGGCTCATTGCAGCCTCGACTTCCCGTATTCAGGTGATTCTCCCACCTCCCAAGTACCTGGGACCCCAGGCAGGTGCCATCACACCCAGCTAAATTTTGTGGTTTTTGTAGAAATGGGGTTTCACCACGTTGCCCAGGCTGGTCCGGAACTCCTGGGCTTAAGCAATCCTCCCGTCCTGGCCACCCAAAGTGCTGGGATTAGAGGCATAAACCACCATGCCTGGCCCCCAGTTTTGTTTTTGTTTTTTGCTTTTTTGTTTTTGTTTTTGAGACGGAGTCTTGTCTATCGCCTAGGCTGGAGCACAATAGCGTGATCTCGCCTCACTGCAACCTCCGCCTCCCAGGTTCAAGCGATTCTCCTGCCTCGGCTTCCCAAGTAGCTGGGACTACAGGCGCCTGCCACTATGCCCAGCTAATTTTTGTATTTTTAATAGAGACAGGGTTTTACCATGTTGGCCAGGATGGTCTTGATCTCTTGACCTCGTGATCTGCCCACCTTGGCCTCCCAAAGTGCTGGGATTACAGGCGTGAGCCACTGCACCCAGCTTCCTTGCCCCGCCATTTTTTTTTTAAATCATTAAAAGGCATACACCAAGTGGAGAATCATTTATTCAAGAAAATCTACTAAATCTCATTAAGGCCTAAGTCTGTGACATTTGATCCACAATTTGCTTTTCTGTCCCTTTTTTCCAACTTGGTGTGGTGGTAGCTCTACTTCTGGTGGGTGCAGCAAAGAAGATGGGGCTAATACTCCTCTAGTTCTCTATAGTTTAAATCATCTATTTTAAATATGTTCAAGAACTAAGGAAACCACATCTAAAGAAATAAAGTATGACAACTGTGTCTCACAAATTGAGAGTATCATTACATAGACATTATAAAAAAGAACCAGAGAGAAATTCTGGAATTGAAAAATACAGTAGCAGAAATAAATTAACAAAGGGGGTGCTCCATAGCAGATTTGAGTAGGTAAAAGAATCAGTAAGCTTGAAGACAGGTCAAGTGAGATTACATCGTCTGAAAAAAAAGTACAAAGAGAAGTGAACAGACTTGGAGACCTGTAGGAAACCATCAAGTGTAATAACTTAGATGTTAATGAAAATTCCAGAAGGAGAAGAGAAAGAGAGGATAAAGAATATCTAGAGAAATAACGGGTGAAAACTTCCAGATTGATGAAAAGGTTATATCATGGAAAAGCAACTATATGAAAACTGGACTGGTAATATTTACATCAAATAAAATCAACTTTAAAACAAAAGTTACTAGACATAAAAAGGAACATTTTATCACAATAAAAAGAACAGTCCATCAGTACACTATAACAATTATCAACACATACATACCTACCCCAAATTCACAACATACATGAAACAAAAACAGAAACAAACTGAAGGGAGAAATAGACAATAGTTGTAGACTACAATACTCCACTCTCAAAAACGGATTAAAACTAGGCAAAAGATGAACAATGAAACAGAAGATCTGAACACAATAAACTAACACACATCTATGAAACACTCCACTCAGAAAGAGCAAAATATATACTCTTCTTAAGTACACATAAACTATTTTCCTGGGTGACTCATATGGAGGGGGTCATAAAACAAGTCTCATTAAGTTGAAAGGGACTGAAATCATACAAAGTATGTCCTCTACTCATTATGGAATAAATTTAGAAAAAAATAAAATTTTGACGTTCACGAATACATGGAAATTTAGCAACACACTCCTGAGTAATCAAACAAGTCAAAGAAGAAATCACAAGTTAGAAAATAATTTGAGACAACCAAAAAACAAGAACACAACATAGCAAAACTTACTGAATTAAAGCAGTGCTTGAAAAGAAATTTAATATCTTTAAATGTTAAAAAATAAATATCTCAGATAACCTAATCTTCCACCTTAAGATACTAGAAAAACAGCAAAGTAAACCTAAAGCAAGCAGAAGGAAAAAATAATATAGAGCAAAAATTAATGAAACAGAAAAACAGAAAAATCAATGAAACCAAAAGCTGGTTCTATTTGATAAGGTCAACAAAATTGACAAACCTTTTGCTAAACTAGTCAAGAAAAAAAAAAAAAACTCAAAATACTAAAAATCAGAAAGGAATGAGGAGATATTACTATGGACCTTTTAGAAATATAAAGGAAAAGGAATACAAACTGTATGCCAACAAACTACATACCACAGATAAAACAGATAAACTCTAGAAAGACAATAACTCCCAAACTGAATCAAGAAGAAAAAGAGAATCAGGGAGGGCCCTGTGCTGTGGCTCATGCCTGTAATCCCAGCAAGATGTGAGGCGGAGGCAGGAGGATTGCTTAAGCCCAGGAGTTTGAGACTAGCTTGGGCAACACAGGGAGACCCCATCTCTACAAAAAATTTAAAAATTAGCCAGGCATGATGGCAAGTGCCTAGAAGGACTGCTTGAGCCTAGGAGGGTGAGGCTGCAGTGAGCCAAGCCATGCTCAAGCTGCTGGACTGTAACCAGGGTGAAAGAGCTAGGCCCTGCACCACCACCACCCCAAAAAAAAGAGAAGAAAAGAAAATCTGAATAGATCTCTCACAAGAATTTTTAAGCTTCACATAAAGAGAAAGATGGCTTTAATGGTGAATTCTACCATACATTTAAATAATTAATATCAATTATTTACAAATTCTTCCCAAGAAATAGAGAGGAGGGAACACACACAAACTTATTTTGTAAAGCCAGTATTACCCACCCCACATAAAAAAACAGATAATGACATTGTAAGGAAACTACAGGCCAATACCTCTGATGAACAGACACACAAATCCAAAAACATACTAGGCTAATGAAATCCAGCAACATACAACATAAAGAAGGACTATACACCACAACCAAGTGGGATTTATCCCAGGAATAAAATTGCTTATTTGCAAATCAATTTTGTTCTTTGCACTCCTTATGTACAAGGATCATAATTTATCTTTAGATCCTCAGCCACTTGCCAATAACAAATGTATGTTATTCTCTTCATGAATGGCTCATCTGCCCCGACCCCATTCTTTACTTCCTTAAACTGCTCTAATTTTTCATCACGTCAATTTTATCTGGCATTACATGTTTATTTATTCTCTGATATATCCATGGTGCGTTAGGGACAAACTGACATTTTGATAGGTCTTAAATATTTGCTTAATGATAGCAACTACATAAATTCCAAACATTCTATATCAATTTCTAAGTTGCAAAACATTACTTACCTAAGTTCTTCAGGTTTTGTAGCACATGCTAACAGAAGAAAAAAGATAACACCTCATTAGTTTCATCTTACATGATAAACTGCTGCACTATTCAAAGCAAAACCTGAATTGCTTTATAAGCCATGTTTCACAACCACACATTTCTTTCTTTGAGAAAGGGTCTTCATGTTTTGTAGAGACAGGGGTGGGTCTCACTACTGTTGCTCAGGCTGGTCTCGAACTCCTGAGAGTTGAGCTTCTGGGCTCAAGCAATTCTCTCACGCTGGCCTCCCAAAGTGCTGGGATTAATGGTGTGAGCCACCACATTTGGCCCCAACCATAAATCTAAAAACCTTCAATTCACCAAAGTGTCTTGGGGTTCACACCATAAAGTCAACAATGGCAATTATTTTCATTTTTCAAATAAAGCAACAGAATGCATATATATCTCCACCTTTTAAACAGAACCAATCTAAACAGAACCGATCTGTAAGCCTCCAGAGTGAGCTGACAGATTATGAATTATCATCAGTGGAAACCAAGAGGAAACTTAGGGTTTTAAAATCATCACAATTCATTTATAGCTGTATATTTAATTTATAGCCACACCAAAACTTATGAGTATAAATCATTTTTATAAAAAAGTCAATACTGCCAAACATCAGATCATTACAGTTGTTTTTGGACAACTCGTGATGACTCTGACAGTGGAAATACTTAAAATTAAATTTGCATTTTAATGCAAATTCAGCTTAAAACCAAACACAAGGTTTAATTTATTTGTCAAGGTAAACAATGCTTTTTCTTATATAATCGATCTTAATCAGCAAGTAACAATCATGAATTAGGAAATGTCTATGTGTAACAATGATGAATATATTTTAAAATAGTATTTAATAGAATCCTTAATATTATAATACAATATGAAATAAATTTTACTTAAAAAAATTCATCACAAGACAATGTTTTGGCCAGGCATGCCTGTAATCCTTTTAGGATTGGGGAGGCCAAGGTGGGCAGATTACTTGAGGTCAGGAGTTCAAGACCAGCCTGGCCAACATGGCAAAACTCCGTCTCTACTAAAAATACAAGAATGAGCCAGGAGTGGTGGCACATGCCTGTAACCCCAGCTACTCAGGAGGCTGAGGCATGAGAATCACTTGAATCTGGGAGGTGGAGGTTGCAGTGACCTGAGATCACACCACTGCACTCCAACCTAAGC